AATATTTTCCTCTTATCAAATTTCTCGCATTTACAACACTGGGAACATAAACAAATTCAACCACAAGTTCACGCCCTCGATATACAAATAAACACAAGTAAAAATAAGAATTTAAAAAAAAATAAACAACTAATAAAAACAAAGTAAGTAAAACCTAAATACATTTTAATCCCATCGACCTAAAAAAAAAAAAATTCTGAACGTGCCATACGAACCAAAAAAGATCTCAGAGTAGACAGTATATAAGCCTACTCGGATATTACATATTCTAAAGCACCAAATAAACAGTATATAAGCCTACTCGTGACACCCATATTACATATTCTAAAAGGCAAAAAACAGAGAAAAATAAAACAAAAATAGAGAGAAAATAAAAACATTTTCGCCGTGACACCCAAATTACACATTCTAAAGCATCAACGAAAAGGGTAAATTCACCGTCATTCCCCCTTCAAAAAAAACAGAGAAAGAGAGAGAAAAAAAAATACACATTCTCGCAACCGACATTTAATAAAAGAGAAAGTTCGCGTGTTTTGCTCGAATCCTTACAGTTTGAAGGTTAAAAAAGATTTCACCACGGCATAGCATCCAACACCATTACGACTTGTGGAAAAAAAACAACAGGCAAAGGTCAGTTGTATTCCGATGTAGCACAAAACAGATGTATAATTCGGCACATCGTTACGTATCAAATTAAAAAGGGGGAGGGGTCAAAAATAGAAAAAAAAAGTGTGTTATACTTAAATTCATTCTCCCTCTCTCTCTCTCTCTCTTCCTTTCTTTTTTTTCTCTCTACTTCTCTACCTCTCTATCTCTGATTTTTCTATCTTTAATGTTCCTCTTTTATTCTTTCTATTTTCTCTCTCTCTCTCTCTCTCTCTCCTCCTCCCCTCCCCCTCCCTCAAGCTTTACCGGGCCGCGTCACAGGCTGTACACACTCGCCCCGGCACACACACTCGCTGAACACGCCCCTTCGGCTGCATCTAAAAACACATTTCTCTCCCACAACCAAAGAAATAGCACGCCTCCACAACCTCTCACGGAATTCCAACAACTTTCGAAGTCCCCTTCAAACACGTCTCGACATGTGTCACCGAGGATCACAGACTTTTAAAGAAATGGCTTGAATTAAATGGCCTTTGGCACTCCGGAGCACTCACGGTGTAGTCCATCCTCGGCGGTGTCTCTCGCTCGTCTGACTCTCGCTACGTTTATTTCTTAGTCGAGTTGCCACGCTAGCATTTACGGGGAGCCTTTTTTTCCGGAAATGTCTTCTTTATTATTATTATTCTATCAAATTTCTACGGACTTGATTACGTGTCCCTTTTTTTACATACGCGATATGTACTGCGACGCGAAGGAAATTTTACAAATGCGACAGATTTATAGCTTCGAAATCAGACTACCCTTTGCAAATTGTTCAAGCTTCCAAGAACTGTTCATTCCTCGATGAATACTCATCTCCTTGGAATATTCTCGAGGTATAACTTTTAAAATACCAATTCGTGTGCTATGATACTCCCGCAGTACTCTCTGGGAGACCGAGACATTCAAACGCCTTTTCTTACGTTGTGAAGTAAGAGATAAAAGTTTTCTAAGTTTCGAATCTCTCTCTCTCTCTCCCGCCACGTACCGACAAACCACAAAACACAGCAACCACCACCAAAGCTTTATTTCCCTTAATTTCTCTCTTAATAACGAACCAAAATACGAACTTAGATACATTTTATCTCCCCCCCCTTTCTCTCTCTCCTCTCTCTTTCCCTCTCCACTCTCTCTCTCTTTCTCTCCTCTCTCTCTCTCTAATAACCCACCCCCACGGAGAGAGGGTAAGCCTATATCCCACGACAGATGTTCAGCACATGGGGGGAGCCAAGGAGCTAACATAGCAACAAGGCTCGTCACGTCTGGACCTTTGCGCAACTAGTATAGGATGGTGGGATGACGGGACAAGAATCCTAACACAAGGAGGGATTGAGGGGTTTTAGTCGCACCCTTTTCCTTCACTCCTTCCTGGGTTGGCTTGGGTGCGAGTGGAGTTAGGTCGGGTTGGCTCCCATGAAGAGGGAAAAGGAATGGGAAAGGAAGATAAGGGGAGGAAAAGGAGGAGATGGAGGAGAAGAGAGAGGAGAAAAGAAGAAAGATCAACTGAAAAACCGTGGGAGAGTAGGAGGGAAAGAAGGTGAGGGAGGGAGAGAAAGAGGGGGAGGGGAGGGAGAGAAATAAGGGGAGAGGAGGGAGAGAAAGATGGGAGGGGAGGGAAAGAAAGAGGGGAGAGAAGGCGGAGGGTGAAAGAGAGAGAGAGAGAGAGAGAGAGAGAGAGAGAGAGAGAGAGAGAGAGAGAGAGAGAGAGAGAGAGAGAGAGAGAGAGAGAGAGAGAGAGAGAGAGAGAGAGAGGAAACCGAAGACAGAGTAAACAAGCAAGTGCGAGTGATGACAGGAAGTAGCAGGGCATGGGAGTCTGCCAAGCGAGCAGCGAGAGGCGAAGAAGGGAAAAGAA